TCTCCTCCCCCGGTGGAGGCAGATGTCTCCTCTCTGACTCTGGTTCTTGAGGTTTCTCTCTGTTAATGAGGAGTTTCTCCTCCACAGACTCAAAGTGCTGCTCATGGTTCACCTGTTGGTTTCTCTACATGAAGAAGATCTGAAGCTCTTCACCTTCTCTGTGAAGAGTCTGGAGATCATGGATGTTAGGATTTGGTGCTACACAAATAAAACTGAATTTAATTTAATTTTAATTGAATTCATTACTGACTGGAACAGCTGTAGTTCTCCCCTCAGCCACCAGGCGCAATGGTAGAGGAGGCCTGCTCCTCCAGGAGTCTGCCTGCAGGGGGCTCTGCTGCTGCTCTGTATGGGAGGACGGTGCAGCTCTGTCCACTCTGCAGGTCTGTGTGGTGTCAGTTGTGTGATCGGCCCTGCAGGAGACAGCAGAAGAGACAGTGTGTGTTTTCTAACAACCAGTAGATGTCACTGTTTATGCTGTGCTTATTTCAAGGGTCGTGAAGAAGCAGCTGAACCTGGACTGGACAGATTTTGACAGTAGAAGCAGTCGAACCCTGCAGATCTTCTCAGAAGCACTTAATAAACCTTTAACCTGAACCTGCTGTTAGTGTTTGTCCTCAGCAGGAAGAATCTGCTCTGATAGAAATAAAAGGTATTTAAAACTTCTCCCATGACTCAAGAGCTTCCTGTCTACTCAAACGTATTTAGACTTTAAATCACAGGGTATCGGTCTGATGACTCACCTGCTGGAGGATTCAGCACCTGAGGACGAGACGTCAAGACATTAACAACAACGTTCCACCTGTTCAGTGAGGAAGTCACACTCTGCTCGTCTCACCCTGAACGTGGAGCTCAGCGCTGACAGTCGCTGTTCCAGCACTGTTGGAAACCGAACAAGTGTAAGTTCCTGCATCATCCGCACAAACTTCCTTTATCTCCAGGAAGTGAAGGCCGGAGCGCTCGAATATACTGACCCGCATACAAAACGGAAGCCCCGCCCCCTCCCGGTAAAGAGCAAACACACAAACTGAAGGTCCACCCCCTCTTTAGACAAAACAATTAAACACAGACAGAAGCTCCGCCCCATCTCAGAACCCACCTTGTACCATGTGACCAGGGGCTGTGGTCGTCCGGTTGCCTTGGCAGAGAACCTCCCGCTCTGTCCCAGTTTGGCGTAGACTCGGCTCGGTTTACTGATGAACTTGGGCGGACTCTCGCCCCAAATGCTGGACCTGTTCTCCAGCATCGGTTTGTTAGAGCGCCACCTGCAACCAAGAGTGAACCATTGTTTGGTTTTTCACACCACAAACTGTCTGGATTTAGATTCAGAGCTGAGCGAGGACAGGTTCAGAGGTCAGAGGTCAGAGGTCAGGCTCAGACGTCAGGTGCTTACCCTGGTTTCATGGAGGACAGGTGGATGATCTTCTTCCCAGAATCCTCTGCAGGTGGAGAAACACAAGAACAGTTGACAGAACGTTTGAACAGTGACGTTGTTCACAGGAACATCTGAGGTGTGAAGACACAAATTCTTCAGGTCATGTGACCTCGCAGATGAGAACTATTTTCCTGTTGAACTTTAGCGCCCTGTTGGTGGCGCTGTGTGTCACACGTGCAAAGTGAAAGATTAATTTATAGTTGGAGACTGTGGTTCTATCAGTACAAGTAAAGCAGTATTGTTATTATAAATAGTAGTATTGACAGTATGAGGTGTAGTATTCGGAGTACTGCAGGTATTCATTACCTTCCAGAAGAATCTCCACGGTAACTTGTCGACTCCCTGCCTGATTGGTTGCCTGACAGGTGTAACGTCCCAGGTCATCCTCTCTGACTCCGCCCACCACCAGACTGAAGGTGCCCCGCCTACCTCTCACCACAACACAACGCTCTCTGCCAATCACAGCCCTCCCCTCCCTGTACCATGTGACCTGAGGTTCAGGATGACCACACACCTGACACACACAGAAACAGACGATTCATCCATTTGTTCACTGATGGTTCCAGTTTGTGTGTGTGTGTGTGTGTGTGTGTGTGT